GAACGTGAAATAGATGCACATTACTTGCCGACCGCAATCAGGGCGGAGAGCATTCCTTGAAACAATTCCCAATGCCCGTCGCTGCTCCAGTATCTCCAGAGCTGGCGCCAATGACTTGATATCTGGGCGTGGCGAGGGAGGGGAGGGAGGGAGGTCGGGGGAGCGATGGGGGCGGAGAGGCATGGGGAAGAGGGGCAGGGTCGGGCTGCTCTGGAAACACATGGGCAGGTGAGGCATTAGTTTACCTATCAGGGCCCTGGAGTGCACTCGTCTGAATACACGATCAAGTCTCCGACGTTGCCGCCGAGACAATCGAACAGCATGCACGCAAAATCTGGGGCCTGACGGCAAGCTGTTTGGATGAGCGCCATGGGGTTAGCGTAGGTAACCTCCACGTGGCCCCCTCCGATCTGGGGAAGGTTCACTGTCTCGATCAGCCTTTGAAACGCAAGCTGCCTGCCACTTCTTTCGGGAGGAAGGCGAAAGCTGCGCGAGGGGCGAGGTTAGGGTAGATGCGGGGGGGGGAGGGCGAGGAGGAGTAGGAGTAACACGGGGAGTCAGAGGGGCCGACAGAAACGGCAGGATTGAAATCGGTTCAAACCGCATGGCCTGCCATAATCTGTGAGCTCACCAGCGAACGCATCGAGTTTCCTGCCGAGTTGTTTGGCACTGGGCAAGGGGTCGTCCTCCGAGAATTCATGCCTGTCTAACGCCGCCCTCAGGATCTTAGCTGCACCCGCAAGGCTGGCCCCCAAGGAAGCCGAGACAATGTCGAGGGCGGCGAGGCGGGGCCTCTTGGCAGCCGGCGGCATCGCAGCACTGGCGCGCCAGGGTGTCCTCGCGCGAGGGCGGCGGAACAGAGCGGGGGAAGGAGGGGGGCCAAGGAAACATAGCGAGCGAAGGCACGCACATGAGGAGAGAGGGGAGGCTGCAGGATAACAGGCTGACGAATCAACTGCGCTCCCCATTATGTGGCCACGTTCCTTCTTTTCTCACCCCGCCCCTCCCTCGTCTCCCTCATCTCTCACTCCCCCTCCTCCTATGTGGCTTTGATGTGGTCTCTCTCTCTCTCTCTCTCTCTCTCTCTCTCTCTCTCTCTCGTTCGCTTTCTGTGTTTGTCTCTCTCCCTCTCTCGCCCTCTCTCTTTCTTTCTCTCTCTCTCTCTCTCTCACTCTATATATATATATATAGTCCTCTCTCCCTCTCTGTATCGGTCTCTCAGTTTCTCTCCTTCTCTTGTTTTATCTCGCTTTCTTTATCTCTTTCTCTCTCTCTCTCTCTCTCTCTATCGCTCTCTTTCTGTCTCCCCGTTTTTCTCTCCTCCCTTTTCTCCCCCTTCCCACCCCTCCTCTCTCCCTGTCTCCCTCCCTCCAGCCCTCGTGTCCTCTGCTGCTCTCCCTCATCTAACTGCCCGTCTTCCTCATGCGGGCTCGCGGCGACGATGGCGACGACGATCCAAGTGCGCAACGCCCAATGCGAACATGTCAACGATGGTGTCACACGTGCTGGATGCGCCGATGAATTGGATGATGTGATGATGTTGCAGCCGATGGCGGCAGGTGGGCCGTGTATTCACTCACCTCGGCCCAGCAGAGCGTGGCATTGACACAGCTACCTAAAAGAAATCCCACAGAGTTGCACGCACCACGACTGGCTAGGCAAACTACTGGAACTGAATGCCACTGTGCGAGCTTTGTGCCCAGGAAGTCGGGCGAACATACGCAGGCTGCTCATCACTTGAAGTGGCCGCCCACGTGCCGGCAGGCGCTGAGCGGATCAAAGCATCATGCAATATTTGCACCTCCCGGCAGATGGGCTCACCGAAATGCGGGAATGTCGAATTCACTTCATCTCGCAACGCCAAGGGGACCCGCTGCCGACCTGCACCGACATCCTCGAAACCATAAGGAAGCACAGATGAACGCCAGTCAGAATAGACGCTGTGGACGTCGATCGGCAAGTGATCCCACTGAAGCTCGAGCCCCGGCGGCGGCAAGCCACGAGAGAACCGCGACGCCGCGGACTGTTGCGATGACGAGCCTGCCGTTGGAGATGACGACGCTGCCGTCGAATGGACAGGAGCACCATTATCGGCGATGGCTTGCATGGCGGCGCGCCATGCTTGCTGCACTTGGGCGGGTGGACCCACCACGGCTAGGTACCTGACGCCGTTGCGGCGCCCCCTGACAGTGGCTCGGCACCCGAACTGGCCGAGGATGGAATCCTTGTCGCCTCTCGTCAACGTGCCTGCATTGCCCTCGAGAGCGCGCGGCCCGAGAAGCACGTGCGGAGGCGGCTCTGTCATGGACCCGCCGAAGCGGCCGCGCCCAAACGATTTGAGCCAAAACGATTACGGAAAGGGTAAGTGCAACGAGCTTGTGACCCCGCATACAGTCGCAAGAGTAATAAGCATTGTGAGCTCGGACGCGCGAGCTCACAATACTTACGACTCTTGCGATCGAACTCTCATTGAAATTACGACGCGTACGCGCGTCCCTGAAGCCGCGATCCCACGATATCACAACGAGCAGCGTCAGCATCGCGCACCCGAGGCTACAACGCGTAATAAACGCGATTGTCGTGAGCATGCTACTTGAATGTGCGATGAGTCGTGGTCCAAGCCCGCCTCTCCTCCGCTCTTCTCCTCCTCGTGCTTATCGTCGCCCGTGCTTATCCTCATCCTCTGCTATTCTCCTCCTCGGCGTTGCAATGCTATGTTATGTGTTCCGTGTAGCTTCGAATTGTCCCCCTCGATCGTCTCGCTTTTCTCCTTCGCCCTCCTCTTACCTCCCTCCTGTGTGTTTTGCTCCCTCTCCCTCCCTCCTCCTTCCACCGTCCTCCCTCCGCCATCTCCCCCTCTCCCCCTCCTCTTCTCCTCCCGTCTCCTCCTCCCGGGCGGCGGATTCGGTCCTGAAAACGGGCGCAGGGCGCCGCGGGGCGAGGCGCAAGTTTGAGCCGAAAGGTGGTACAGTCAACCCGTACCATAAGGACGCACGGTAAGGACGCGAGGGCCATGGAAGGCCGTTCCGAGGTTTTTGAGCGGGGAACGCCCAACGAAAATTGCCAATGATGGACCGAAAAGGCAAGGATGCACGGGTACCCTTGGGATGATTGCCCATCTTTGTGCGGGCAAACTGTAATGATACCGAGCCATCAAGAGGGGCATACAGGGTTACGTAACCCGAACCGTAACCCGAACGTATCTTGACGTATCCTGAACTATCCTGAACCTATCCTGAAAGTATCCTGAACCTATCCTGAACGTATCCTGAACGTTAACTTGATATCTGGCTTCAAGACTTACCATCGCTCTTATAAACGAAATCTATCTTGATTGTAACAAGGTTTGGTCGAGATCATTCCAAACCTCACAATCGACATGCAAAAACCTTATGAGCCAGGGACCGGAATGCTAAATCATGATTGGGTTTACTATCTAGTTACAGTTGGGAGAGTGGCTTACATCACTAGTTGCTGGGGGTTATATAATCGCTTGTTCGGGATGCCATACCGATTGCTAACGCTGGCAGCACAAGAGTCTTGCAAAGTATTCCATAGTAAAGGCGGGGGGGGTCACATTTGGGGGGGGGGGGGGGGGTCTGATTTGAGCTGTCTTGGAGGGTTGGGGGGGGGTCTGGGCAAAGGGCCGCCCTTTCATGGATGGTCTGGGGGGCTCTAAAGCTTCTCGTCTGGGAGGCGTTCCGGGGGTACTCCAGATGTCGTAATAAAAGGGAGGGGGTCTGGACCCTCCAAGACAAGCCATTTCAGACCCCCCCCGCGGGAGAACCCTCCAGAACATCGTCCCCAGACCCCCCCAGGCCCTCCAAGATAGCCTGGAGGAGACCCCCCCCCGAAATGAGACCCCCTCCCTTTTATTACGAAATCTGGAATAATTATGCGTTCGGGGGGCGGGTGGGAGTGAGCCAAACAGCTTGCGTCTGGGAGAGGAGGAGGAGGAGGAGGAGGAGGAGAAGGAGGAGGAGGAGGAGGAGGAGGAGGAGGAGGAGAAATGGGACCCCCCTCCCTTTTATTACGAAATCTGGGGTGCCCGGATCGCCCCCCGAGCGGCCGCCGCCAGAGGCCCGAGCTGGGGCCCCGAGCGCCGGTGCGGCGCTCGCGCACCCAGGGGAGGGTTCGCGAGGGGGGGCGGCCGTTGAAGAGGGCGGGGGGGGGGCTTCTTAGAAGACATGGGGCCTTCTTGAAGCGGGGACGGCTTGTATGAAAGCCCCCTGCCTTCTTAGCAGCTCCCCGACTTCGTAGTCGCCCCTCCACTGCCCCCCTCACTGCCCCCCTCACTGCCCCCCTCACTGCCCCCCTCCGTTGAAGAGGGCGGGGGGGGGGGGCTTCTTAGAAGGCAGGGGGGAATAACCAATCTGCGTCCCCAATCCGTAGGCGTGTGAGGACACCACGCAGCTCGGAGAGCTGCGGCGACCGTTGTGTGGCGGTCCCCACTTATGATACGCAACACATGCAATTACGTAGGTATGTAATGACATGGGGCCTTCTTGAAGCGGGGACGGCTGGTATGAAGCCCCCCGCCTTCTCAGCAGCTCCCCGACTTCGTAGGGGGCCGCCCCCCTCACTGCCCCCCTTCTAGTCGCCTCTAAGCATTGCTCTCATGATGGCGTCCGTGTGTTGGCGGCAAGCGAGGGGGGGAAGTGAGAAAAAGAAGTCCCTCTCAGAAGGGGCCGAAGTCCCCCAACCTTCAAAACATGTTTCTAAACCTTCCCCGGAGACACGTGAAACTTCTGAGAAGTCCGACCGCCTTCTGAGAATGCCTCCTCCGTCTCATTCTCATTTCCTCCCCTCGCTCGCCGCCGACTGTACCCATCTTGAAGCCAGGACCCATGCCACACCAAATCGGGCAAGTGGATCTGGTGGGCTTGTGTTCCACCGCCACCGCCACAAGTAGGAGGGGGGGTCCTCCTCCACCTCCTCCTCCTCCTCCTCCGTCCCCCCTCCAACTTATGGTGGTGGTGGTGGAAAGCAGGCCCGTCAGGATCGGATCGAACAGGGCGTCGGGTCGGGCTGGCCTCCTGAGCTGGCGGGCGTGCCCCCCCGCCTTTTGCTGCGCGGGGCGGCCGCACGAGGCGGGCTGGGGCCCCTCAGAGCAGCAGGCCGCCTAGGAGCGCCCCCCCCGGCGTGGAGGGCGCGCTGCCGGCGGAGCCGACCGCCGTCAGGCTGCCGCTGGTCGTCCTGAGGCCGGCGGACCGCCCTAACAAAGGGGCCCCCCACACTGACTACCAACCAGACCATGGGACACACAGAGACATGCTGATACTGGATGTCCTCCTTGGAGGCGCGCGCCCGGCCCGAACACATAGTCTACAGCATACCCATCTTGTGGCATACTGTTTTCCCGAGCGGTGTGGCCAGAAAGCGCCCGCCACGACGCATGCACTATAAGATTTCTCGGTGCGCGCGTCGCCCCTGGGGGGGGCGACTCACACATATTATTAGATGTTGGGGCCGGCGGACCGCCCCAGCAAAGCGGCCCTACACTGACACCAAAACACAACCCGAAGGCCCAAATTTCTGGCTTTGGGGGGGGGTGCGGGCTCTCCACGCGTGTTTTTGTTCCAAGGTTCCCCGAGGAGGAGGAGGAGGAGGAGGAGGAGGAGGAGGAGGAGGAGGAAGAGGAGGAGGAGGAGGAGGAGGAAGCGGAGGAGGAGGTGGAGGAGGAGGACCTCCCACACTGGCAAGGGAGGGCAGGTGGAGGCCTTCGGGTTGGAGGTTTGGGGGTGGTCTCTGGGGGGTGGTGATGTAAACACTCCCGCCCCGCCGCGGGCCCCAAGTGGCGCACAGAGGGGTGCGCACCACTTGTCCACCCCAGAGCGTTGGCTGCCCCCCCCCCTCCTCGTGCTCCTCCTCTCTTCCCTCCTCCTCCTCCTCCTCCTCCTCCTCGTGCTCCTCGTGCTCCTCCTCCTCCTCCTCCTCCTCCTCCTCCTCTTCCTCCTCCTCCTCCTCCCTCCTCCTCCTCCTCTTCCTCTTCCTCTTCCTCTTCCTCTTTCTCTTTCTCCTCCTCCTCCTCCTCCTCCTCCTCCTCCTCTTCCTCCTCCTCTTCCTTTGGCTCAAGGGCAACGAAAACCTGATCCGCATGCGGTCCAGGGGCTGCACCCCCCCACACCTCAGGGGCTGCAGCGGACGAGAGGCGGCAGGGGAGAAGTTTCGCCCGACGGCCCTTGCCGGGTCCGGGCGCCGTCAACAGAACAACGCGGGGGGAAAACTGGTCCCGGGGAGGGGGTCCAGATGCCTGGGGCCCACTTTTCGAAGAAAGCAAGCAGATCACATCGTCGGACTCCTGGGGAGGTCGTGGGGCTAGCTTCGGGCCTCTCATGGTGCCCTGGGTAATTCCGCTGGGCTCTGGACGGCCTCAGGGGCGCTCCGGGGACCTCGGAGGGACCTCGGAAGGACCTCGGGGATCTCTGCAAGTTGCTCCTGCTGGATAGCCACGACTCGTCTGCCATTGTGCTCCACCATTGCGATCGCGGCCGCCTTCCTTCGACTCATCAGATTCACGCTCTTCTCGCTGAATCTTACAATCCACCGCCGCCGTCGCTGCGGATATTTCCTGAACAACCGCATCCGCCTCGCACTGCTTCTGAACGTTATCCTCCCTCCTCCTCATCCTCCTCCTCCTGATCCACCTCTTCGTCCTCATCGACATACCTCAATGTTTTCTTCTGGTGTCAGCTCGTGATGTGCAGAACCAAGCCAGGCGCGTGCATCAAAAGGCTCCCTGCTCGGGCGGATCGCAGAGCACGCCCGCCACATGGAAGCACCTCTCGGCGGCGCCGACGATCAGCGCCGAGGCCCGGCCGCCAGCGGGAGGGCGACAGGCGCAGCAACGCCGCCGCTCCAGCGGGGCGGTCGGGCCAAAAAAAGAGGCCACAGACCGGAGAGGAGGAGGAGGAGGAGGAGGAGGAGGAGGAGGAGGAGGAGGAGGAGGAAGAAGAGGAGGAGGAGGAGGAGGAGGAGGAGGAGGCGGGAGGGGGGGGGCGGCTGAGGCAGGGCGCCGCCGCCCCCCCCCCGCCGCCACTGCAGCCGCCGCCGCGTCGGACAAGACTCCGACAAAAAGGACGGCGCTGTTTGAAGCACCTTTGTGTACAGGGCCCCCCCCCCCGGCAGCTCGCTGATCAAAGGCGCCCTTGTGCGTCTCCCGCCCCATCTCCGGCTCCCGGGGGGTCAGCTCGCAGCCGTCTCCATGTGCTGCTGCTGAGCAGCCAGGTCCAAAAAAGTGGACCCGGCAGTCGCGGGGCGACGCTGGCGCGCCTGAAGCGCCGAAGCGGGCGTGGAAAACTATGGCTCTACTTTGCCCCAAACCGGCAGCAAAGGCTGTCCAACTTTCACAGCGGTCGTTGCTGGGCATCCTATGCGTCGCAGTCGCCTCACAACGTCCGCGGCGACATCCACAGCGAGTCCCGTGCAACACGCACAGGACAGGCTGTCGGTGTTCGCCCCCGTGCATTCCGTCCCCAGCGGGCAGCGCGCACTGCAGGGCCCACGCACGAGCGAGATCACTTCCTCTTTGGTTACCAGCCTGGAACATACCCCTATCCCTATGCTGGGCACCTCCTCATCACGATGCCAATCTTAGGGATTTCCCTATTTTTTGAGGGCGGATCCCTGAGATTGTCATCGCCTTTTGGCGTGGCAATCTTAGGGATAGGGATAGGGATACGTTCGAGGCTGGTAATGCGGGCACGCACAGGCTCGCCTGCGCAGCGCTCACACCTGCACTGTGCTGCACTGTGCGGGCGTGCTCCTGCTCGGAGGCGGCGCGTCGTTCGTGCCGTTAGTCCTGCTCCGCGGCGCGGCAGCACGCCGAAACCCAGCGCGCGCGATTCAGAAGTAGTGTCGCTCCCCGCGGGGTCTATTCATCAGCCATGGGCGGCCATGGGGGGAGAGGATCAGTTGTCAAGCACAAGCTGACATGAATCGACCGAGTCTTTCCTCCTCTCTTGCCATCCTCCCCTCTTCTCGCAACGCCTCTCCGATGCCGCCTCTCCGATGCCGCCTCTCGTCCTCATCATTCCTTCCTCCTTCATCCCCCCTCGCCCCCCCCCCCCTGCCCCTGTCATGAACTTGTCTGGTGGTGCAAGAATGAGCAATGATCGAGCACGTCGGGGGGGGGGGGGGCAACCCGGCTCCGGAGGGGAAACATCGACGAGGAAGCGGCGATACGTCGCCGATAGATCGGCAGCAGGCCCCGGTAATGCAGCGAATCCGCACGGCCCCGAGCGGATGGGGCTCGCAGGCCCCTGCCGGCGATGAAGAGAAGACTGGGGGTCGGAACATCCCCCCCTGAGCCTGTCCCTAACGCTGCCCCCGATTGGGACGCCATGAGTCCCGCGACGAACCTGCCTGGCGAAGAGAGGAGGTGGGGGAACGCGAACTCCTGGTCGTGACCGTCTCGCTGCGGTCCTCGTCCATGTCGCGCTGGCCGAGGAGCGCATCCGCGGCCGCCGCCGCCTCCAGCACCTTCATGCGCTCCGCCAGCGCGGCCGCCTCCAGCATCTTCCTGCGACGCCTCTCGGGCGAAACTTTTTGCGCAGGAGTCCAGCTCAGCCTGGCCCACAACTCGGCTGCGAGCGAGGGGGGGCAGGGAGAAGGAGAAGGCCCGACCTTCTCCGATGCTTCGGAAGTCCCCCGGCCTTCTGCGAAGTCTCCTGGGCCCTCCCCCGGAGGCGCAACACGCTCCTCCGAAGGCCGGAGGCCTTCCGAGAAGTCCCGCCGTCTTCCGAGGAGGTCCTCTCCTTCTCACCTCTAGCTTTTCCCCCCTCGCTCGCCGCCGAACGATGGAGCGGCCACGGTGCTGTGCGCAGAGAGCACCCCCCCCTCACGGGTACACCCTGCGAAATGCTTAAGAAATCATGGGTTAAGAAATTCGGAGTCTCAGAATTCGAATAAAAACCCAAAGCTTCGATCACAATCATGGGATTCACATTGAAACATTAAGAATAATCGAGACTCTGGCCGAAAACTTAAGTTTTCTTAAGCATCGTCGCCTAAGGTGTACGTCGGGCTTGCTGCGACACGGGCTCCCCGAGCCGCCCAGGGCGGTCTCGACACGCTGGCGCCGCCTCCAGCGGCGCTGCGCGCCCCGGGGTTGGGGTGTCGAGGAAGGGGCCCAGGGACACACACACACACAAACAAACAAGCAAAGAGACAGAAAGACCAGGACTCTCGACATGTTTCCCCTATGTTATGGGCGTTCGTCTTCCCCGCCCCTTCCCCTAGTTTCCCACACTCTCCTGGGAGTCGACGACGAATTCTGTCTGTGTGTTTTGTCTTCCCTCCTCAGCTGGGTTGTTGAGACCGCCCCAGGCTACTGGAGGGCCTGGCTGTCTGTGCGCAACCGAAGCCTTACCAGCCCACGACCAACGACTCCCACCAGCCCTCTGGACGTAGGTGGTCTAATGCTGTTTCCTTTTCGTCTTCTAGAATCACTCTCCCTTCGGGGAGGGGTACCCTCCCCCCCCTCCTCGAAATTTCTTGAGGGGTTTCCGCGATATGTCAGACGGTTCTTTCTCGCCCACGATGGCTCCAAGAGGATCTCTGATGATCCAGAATGGCCTCTGATATAGTTCAAGATAGCAGGCGATGGCTCAAGATGGCTTCCGACATGCCCCAAGATGTCCCAAAGACCGCTCCAAGCTGGCCCCAAGTGCTCTCGGAGCCTCCTTAGGACCTCCCCATCAAGCCAAAATCGATCAACAATTCAGGGACATCAATGATTTTCAACGTGTCGCCTTTTCGCTTCCGATTGGCGTTTGAGGCCTCAAGGTGGCCCCAAGATGGCCCAAGAGAGCCCAAAGAGAGGCGCAAGAGGCACCCTAGCCGGCGCCAAGAACGCCCAAGAGCGCCCCAAGAGGGCCTCAAGAGGCGGTTTGAAGGGGGAGTCGAATTAGGGACCCACCCCTTTTTTGATCGATGGCCTCCAAGATTGCCCCAAGGGGCCCTCCAGGGCTCCCAAGACGGCTGCAAGGCCCCCCAAAGAGGGCCCCCAAGAGGGCCCAGAGACAGTCCCAAGAGGACGAAAAAAACGGCCTCAAGAAGACCCCACGCTGGCTGCCATAGCTCTTTCATTCATCCTCCTCCTCCTCCCCCTCCTCCTGTTGCTCCTCCTCCTCGTTCTCGCTGTCTCGTCCTTTTCCTGCTTTGCATCATTGTCCTCCTCCTCGTCCTCGTCGTCGTCTTCCCCCTCCTCGTCCTCCTCCTCCCCCTCGGTCCCGTGCTCGTCCTCCTGTTCCTCCTCCTCGTCCTCGTCCTCCTCTTCCTCCTGCTCCTCCTCGTACCTCTCTGGGCAGATGTTTCACTGCACGCTTCTACGCTTCCTCGAAGATGGTAACTCGCCTGGGCCTCGCTTCTGGATCTCTTCCACCCCTGTCCCGTCAGCTCTTAACGGCAGCGGTTCCGAATGGTGTGGTGGGGATCCTCCTCCTCCTCCTCGCTCCTCGCTCCTCGCTCCTCTCTCCTCGCTCCTCGCTCCTCCTCCTCTTCCTCCTCCTCCTCCTCCTCCTCCTTCTCCTCCTCCCTCCTCGCTCCCTGCTTCTCGCTCCTCGCTCCTCCCCCTCGCTCCTCCTCCTTCTCCTCCTCTTCCTCCTCCTCCTTGTCCATCCGCGCCATGAGCCAGATAAAGGGTGCCCTGAGGGAGAGAGGGTCTGGGCCCCAGGCGCTCCTTCAGATCTGCCCTTCATCCTGCGTCGCCTTTCGACGGGCCTGGGGCCCAGGGGGAGGAGGCGGAGGAGGAGGAGGAAGAAGATGTTGTTCATCAGAGTGAGGGGGCCGAGCGGTCTCGCACTGTCCCTGGGTGCGTGGCTGTAACGGGCTGCCGCGGTGCGGATTGGTGTCGTTCTCATGGCCAACACAACCGGCCCAACGGCCCACCTGCAACCCGCCCGGCGACCTGCCCCGCGACCCGCCCCGCGACCCGCCCCGTGACCCACCCGCCGCCCGCCCCGCGGCCCATCTGCGGCGGGCCTCTTCACGTCTGCCTCCGAGCCTCGCAGACCCCCCCCCCCGCTCAGCGCGACCGCAATCAAACGACCACCACGTAGGCACAGGCGACAGCAAAACTGAGGAGTCGGGAGACAGCCCTGCCGCAGGACTGGGGGCCTCCCAGATGGGGTCCGAATGGATGGGCACGGGGGATCGCGCTGCATCGGCGCTGCGACACCGATGCACATCGGCGAGGTATCGGCGACGTATCGGCGGCGCATCGCCGATGTCGGCGCAGAGAAAATCGAGCTCCACATCGACCTCAGACCCCCAGACCCTCCCACGTGGCTAATCAATGATGGGCAAATTTTCCACCACCACTACCATATGCAGGACTTGGGAGAAGAGAGGATGAGGAGGTCCTCCTCCTCCTCCTCCTCCTCCTCCCTCTCCTACCTATGGTAGTGGTGGTGGAAAATGGGTCCATCAATCAAAGCGGAAATAAAATCGGGCACAGCCGAAAACATGGTCCATACAATCATCACTTAAGAAACCTGGGCCAACCTTCCGGAAAGGTCTTAAGACAAACTTGGCCAGGTTATCGTGTCAACGCTGGAAGGGCGAACGCGCTCACGAAACCGAGCCAGCTTTCCGGCAAGTTGGCTAAGAAGTTATGGTCCAGCTTTTCTGGAGAAGGTTTCTTACTCATATGCTCGACTGTACTAAAAAATCCTCTGAGGCCTGGCGACTCTGGAGAATGTCTCGGGCGCCGCGGCCTTCTCAGAATGTTCTGGAACGCTCTGAGAGCGAGCGAGCGGGAACGCTCGGGCTCAAGCCACCGAGGCTCGAATCTAGATATCGCAAGACAGGTCCTGATGCCAGGCGGAGAACATTGCACAATCACAACTTGAGAGCTCTGTGGTATCATCGTTCCGCCCGACCCTCCCGCCCGTGCCCGGACAAAAAGTGTCCACACCCATAGCGGTAAGGCGATGCAACATGGTAACAACCACAGCTGCGAAATGCCCTTGCTTCGCACCACTCCCCCCCTAACCCAACGTTGAGGTGTCCACATGTTGTCCCTGGCCTTGGGCCTACCGCCCAAGCCCGTCAACTTCGAATCTGCGGGAAAGGGGGGGTGTACATTTTGGTCCGACGCGCTTTGATGACTCAGGGCCTTGGCTAGAGGCCTTCTGGATGGGGTCGGAGTAGATGGGGTCGGAGGATCGCGCCGCATCGTCGACGTCGGCGGTGAATCGCCGACGCCAGCACAGAGAAAATCGGGCTCCGCATCGAGCCGCATCGCCGATGCACCGGCGATGTGGAGCGATCCTCCGACCCTACCTACTCCGACCCCATCCAGGAGGCCTACAGTCGGACTTGATTGGAGAGGACACGCGAGAGGACAAGAGACCCTCTCCGAGGGGCACACTGCCACAGGAATGCAGGAGGCATGGGTCGCGAGACACAGGACGCAAGGGTACCCTTGACTTGGCAGGGTCGCCCTACGAATCCGGGCCGACTGTAGACTGGCGAGGCAAGCGTGGAGACTTTCAGTCCACCCTCCCTCCCTGACGCCACCTCGGCCCCTTCCCCGCAGGAGGAGGAGGAGGAGGAGCAGGAGGAGGAGGAGGAGGAGGAGGAGGGGGAGGAGGAGGAGGAGGAGGAGGAGCAGGAGGTGGAGGAGGGGAGGGGGAGGAGGATCCCGGCAGGGACGAGGTGCGCCGCTGCCTCACCGAGGGAGGCCCAGAGCGTCGTTCCGGGAGGCCCCTCGTCGCGCCTCCTCGCGACGGCCGGGGGGAGGGGCGTGCTGGCAGAGCCCGCAGCAAGGGTGCGGGGAGGATCGAGGGCGTGTGCGTGTGTGCGCACGCGCATGTTGCCTATACGCATGTACACATACATATACGTATATATATGTATATATAGATGTCTATATGTATATATATACATATATGTATATGTGTGTAGGTAGATGTATATATGTATATGCATATACCCGCATACGTAGGCATGATTGTATGTATGCTTGTATGTGTGTATGTATGCACATGTGTATGTATGTATGTGAGTATGTATGTATATATGTATGTAAGTGTGCATGTCTGTTTGTGTGAGTGTATGTATGTATGCATGTATGTATATGTGTACGTATGTTCGTGTGGATGTACATGTGGATGCATATATGCATGTATGTATGTATGTGCGTATGTGTATGTGTATATACGTATGTCTGTATGCGTGCAAGTATGCATGTACATATGTATGTATGTGTGCACGTAGGTATGTGTGTACGCATGTATGTATGTGTGTATGTAGGCATGTATGAATGTATGTATATATATGTGTATAGATGGGTGTATGCAGGTATGCATGTATGTGTGTATGTACGCATGGATGTATACATGTGTGTACGCATGTGTGGATGTATATATGCATGTATGTATGTATATGTGTATGCATGTAAGTGTATGTGTATATGTCTGTAGGTCTGTATGTATGTATGATATATGCATGTATGTGTAGCCGTATGTGCATGAATGTCTATATGTGTGTATACATACATGTATGCATGCATGTCTGCATGAATGTAGTGTGCCTGTGTGTATGTATGTGTATGTATGTGTGTCTGTATTTATGCATGTATGTGTGCGTGTGTCTGTGTATGTGTGTATGTGCATGTGTATGCATGCTCGCATGCACCTATGTATATTTGTATGCATGTGTATATGCATGCATGTATGTTTGTATGTCGGTCTGTATGTATGTATGTGTACGTGTCTATGCATGCAGGCAAGTATGTCCATGTGCATATGTCTGGAAGCATGCCCGATATGCATTTACATGGATATATGTGTATATATATATGTGTATATATGTGTATACATATATGTGTATGTGGGTAGATGTACAAATGTATACGCATATACACGCATAAGTATACATGATTGTATGTATGTGTGCACGTATGTATGTATGTATGTATATACGTGTGTACGTGTGTGTGCATGTATGTATGCGCGTATGCAGGTATGCATGTATATATGATCCCGGGCTCTGGGCCCACGGGCCCCCCCCCTCCCCCCCCCAGATGGTATGGTCCCAGGATTCCTCGGGCCCCCCCCCCACCCCCCCCCCAGATGGTATGGTCCCAGAGACGACGACGACGACGACGACGACGACGACGACAGCGACGACTACGACGACGGCGACGACTACGACGACGGCGACGACGACGACGACGACGGCTGCGGCTGCGACGACGCCGGCGGCGGCGGCGACGACGACGACGACGACGACGACGAGGACGACGAGGACGACGACGACGACGACGACGACGACGACCTCTGAACCACCACAGCACCACACCACATCCACAGGGGGGGGCGGGGAGGACCATCGCGCGGGGGGGGGGGGGGCCAATGGCATCAGCATTGGGGGGGTGGGGGGGGGGGCCCAAGCCCTGGACCATATTTGTATGTATGCATGTGTGTATGTATATGCCTGTATGTATGTATGTAAGTATGTATGTCTGTATGTGTGTATGTATGTATGTGTGTATGTATATATATATATACATGTATGGATGTGTACATGCATGTAGGTGGGTATGGATGCAGGTGTGCATACATGTGTATACTTATGCATGTGTGTATGTATGTATGTATGCATGTATATGTGTATGTATGTATGCATGTGCGTATATGTATGTATGTATGTATGTTTGTATGTATGTATGTATGTGTATGTATGTATGTATGTGTGTATGTATGTGTGTATGTATGTATGTATGTATGTATGTATGTATGTATGGATGTATGTATGTATGTGTGTGCGTGTACTCATGTATGTATGTATGTATGTGTGTAGGTGCGTATGTATGTATGTATGTATGTATGTATGTATGTATGTATGTATATATATGGTATGTATGTATGCTGGATGTGTGAGTTAGTATGTGTATGTGCGGCTATATGTATGTATGCATGCATGCATGCATGTATGCAGGCATGTATGTATGTATGCATGCATACATGAATGCATGCATGTATGCATGTATGGATGTATGTATGTATTTATATATGTAGGTATGTGTGTATGTATGTATGCATGCATGGATGTATGTATGTCTGTATGTATGTATGCATGAACATATCTCTGTATATATGTATGTATGTATGTATGTATGTATGTATGTATGTATGTATGTATGTGTGCATGTATGTATATATGTATGTTTGTATGTATATATGTCTGTATGTATGTGGTGTGTATGTCTATATGTATGTATGTATGTATGTATGGTTAGTTGGATGTGTGTATGAATGTATGTGTGTGTGTGCATGTGTCTGTGTATACGTGTATGTATGTGTATGCATGTGTGCATGGAATTATGTATGTGTGTATGGGTGCATGTATGTATGGATGCATTCATGTATGCATGCATATGTGTATGTATATATGTATGTGTGTATGCGACTATGCATGTAGGCAGGTACGTCCAAGCGCATATGGTTGGAAAGGTATGTAACCACACGTGGGCACATACATGTACACATACGCATGTATGCATTGATACATCGGTTTGTATATGTACACACACTTCCACATATATACATGTATATATATAGATGTGTATGTATGGCTGCAGAAAATGAATCGATGCGAGTCGCCCCGCCCCGCGGGGCCGGAAGCGCGGGACAGCTCGAGAATTTGCCGACTCGGGACCGCGAAGTAGATAGCGCGTCGCGCCGTAGCGTGGTGGGCCAAAACCAGCGGCGAGACACGCGATCCCCGAGTTCCCGAGCGCGGACACTAACACCGCGCGCGCGCTACACGCGCGCTCGTGCTCGTGTCGACCCCGCAGCCGTTGTCAATAGGCTTTGCACGTCACCGCGCACCCCCATATGCCGAGAGGGGAAGGCACAATTGGGCGCAAGCCACCCTCTTCGCTTGGGGGTGCCAGGCCTTCTGAGGGATAGCTTCGGGCTCTGGGGGCACACGCGGGCCCGTATGAGAGCGCCGCGACGCGCGTCGGAAGGCTCCGAGGATTCCCCAGACCGCCCAAGTAGGTGACTGCCAAGCAAGCCCTCGCCCTCGTCGCCGTCCTCGCCCCTCCCAGGGAGGAGAAGGAGGAGGAGAAGGAGGAGAAGGAGGAAGAGGAGGAGGGAGGAGGAGAGGAAGGAGGGAGGAGGGGAGGGGGGGGGGAAGGAGGAGGACGAGGAGGAGGAGGAGGAGTGGGATTAGGAGGAGGAGGAGGAGTGGGATTAGGAGGAGGAGGAGGAGGAGGAGGAGGAGGAGGGAGGAGGGAGAAGAAAGAGGAGGAGGGAGGAGGAGGAGGACGAGGAGGAGGAGGTGGAGGAGGAGTAGGAAGGAGGAGGAGGAGGAGGCGGGACTGTCTGAGAGCGCCGCGACACGCGTCGGGAGGCTCCTAGGATTCCCTAGACCGCCCAAGCAAGTGACTGAGGAGGAAGAGTAGGAGGAGGAGAAAAGAAGGAGGAAGAGGAGGAGGAGGAGGAGGAGGAGAAAAAGGATACGAAGGAGGAACAGGAGGAAGGAGGGAGGAGGGAGGAGGCAGAGGAGGAGAAGGGGGAGCAGGCAGGAGGGAGGAGGCAGGAGGGAGGAGGGAGAATGCTGGAGGAGGGAGGAGGAAGGAGGGAGAAGGAGGAGGAAGGAGCGAGGGAGGAGGAGGGAGGAGGGAGGAGGGGAGGGGGGGGGGGGGGGGAGGAGGAGGACGAGGAGGAGGAGGAGGAGGAGGAGGAGGAGGAGGAGTGGGATTAGGAGGAGGAGGAGAGTGGGATTAGGAGGAGGAGGAGGAGGAGGAGGAGGAGGAGGAGGAGGGAGGAGGGAGAAGAAAGAGGAGGAGGGAGGAGGAGGAGGACGAGGAGGAGAAGGTGGAGGAGGAGTAGGAAGGAGGAGGAGGAGGAGGCGGGACTGTCTGAGAGCGCCGCGACACGCGTCGGGAGGCTCCTAGGATTCCCTAGACCGCCCAAGCAAGTGACTGAGGAGGAAGAGTAGGAGGAGGAGAAAAGAAGGAGGAAGAGGAGGAGGAGGAGAAAAAGGATACGGAGGAGAAGAGGAGGAAGGAGGGAGGAGGGAGGAGGCAGAGGAGGAGAAGGGAGGAGCAGGCAGGAGGGAGGAGGCAGGAGGGAGGAGGGAGAATGCTGGAGGAGGGAGGAGGAAGGAGGGAGAAGGATGAGGAAGGAGCGAGGGAGGAGGAGGGAGGAGGGAGGAGGAGGAGGAGGAAGGAGCAGGGAGGAGGGAGGATGAGGAGGGAGGAGGAAACAGGAGGAGGGAGGAGGGAGGAGGAAGCTGGGAGGGAGGGAGGAGGGAGGACGAGAAGGAAGGAAGGAGGGAGGAGGAAGGAGGGAGGAGGAAGGAGAGGAGGAAGGGAGGAGGAGGGAGGAGGAAGGATGGAGGACGAGGAGAGGAAGGAGGGAGGAGGAGGGGGAGGAGGCGGAGGGACTGCCGAGGAGGCCGAGGAGGGCCCCTGAGCCGCCTCTCTGGGGCCCTCCTCTTCAGACCGGCGCGCGCTCCGAAGCCTCGGGGCTCCAGGCCGCCAGGCCGCCAGTCGCCGCCGTCGTCGTCGTCGTCGTCGTCGTCGTCGTCGTCGTCATCGTCATCGCCGTCGTTGTCGTCGTCGTCGTCGTCGTAATCATCGCGGTCGTCGTCGACGTCGTCGTCTGTCTGTCGCTGTGTCATTGCACGTTTGGGGAGCGTGTTGTGGACTTCTGACGCCTAAGGGAGACTCCACTCCGGACATCTATGGAGGCCGTCGGCGGTCGT